TCAGGGAGCAGGAGATGGTGTCACCTGGGCAGCTGGGCAGCCCTTTGACCAGGAGGGTCTGTGAGACAGGAAGTCCCTTGGTGGCCATGAACTAGGACTAACAGTGCAAAGCCTGGGCTCAAGGTCACACCTCCTCCTCCTGGAGCCGGGCTCCAGAGGCACCTCCTTTCCCCCCTGCACCAGGCACCTGCCGATTCCCCTCGAGGAACTGAGCCTATCAGGGAGCCCTGGCCTCCAGCCTGTGTGGCCTTCATGGGACCAGAGAGGCTCCCCCACACCACCTGTCGACCTTGGTCCCCTGGGAACGCTTCGGCCTTCAAGTCTGTTCTGGTGGTAGGACGTGCTCCAAGGTCAGCACTTTCTGTAAAGTCCCTTTAAAACCTCAGGACTCGCGCGGAAGGCCAGGGGTGGCTGGGTGGCAGGAGGTAAAGCTAGGCATGGTCCTGCAGGCGCCCTGCCTGCTCCTCAGAGCAGGGTCTGTTTCCACAGAAATGACCTCCTGGAGGTGCTGGAGACACGGGAGCTGCTCACAGGGCTGCTGGGTGCCAGGGAGGCAAGTGGGCGCTGCCCTTCCCTGATGCTGCCAAAGCACTCGGTTGACCCCTCCAGAGCTTTGGTTTCTTCAACTTCCCATTTTAAATAACATTGGGAAACTGACATAGAAAGTTTGCAAACCAAGCACCAGAGATGATGTGCCAGAAGACTCAGGTAAAGGTGTGTGCGCCGACAGGTGTCACCACACGCTGGGACACATTCTGAGAAACAAGTCCCCGTGCAGGCATCCCAGAGGTGCACACACGAGCCTGCGTGCTGGGGTCACTTGCAGGCGAGGCAACTCTTACAGCTTCCTAGAGACAGCGAACACGGGGTGCAGAAGCCACTTAGTCATTTATCACCAGCATCAAGGCTGATGGGCTGCAGGTGAGTGATGTGCTCTGTGTTCACACGGCCAGCGCACAGTAGGCTGCTCACACCGACATCTCCCCACCTCCCACTGCACTTGTGAGGCCTGGCTGAGATCACCAGGCCAAGGGAGTTTCTGATGAGACCATGGCTGCATCCTCAGTCTGTCAATCACCGAAATGTCCTGGGGAGCATGTAAGTCAGTGTGGATGTGTGTGTGTGCCGTGCTAACTCTTGCACACACGATCAAACTGATGTGCATTTATGTCCATATCTGCGTATGTGTGTGTGTATAGCTATGTGTGAGTGTGCGTGTGAAAACTTTAGCAATTACACTACTGAATAAAGATTCTTAATCATTTTCATTTATTTATTTATGTGTGTGTGTGTGTGTGTGTGTGT